CACTTAATTGAAAATATGCCATTCTACAGACCACGTCCACAGCATGAGGTAACTGCTTAAAAGGATTTAGTCAATGCGAATACCATAAAAATAACTTAAAATAGAGTTAAAATAAAATCTCAAGCTTAATACCTAGCTGACAATTTTTGTGTGGTTTTAAAAATGCTCTACTGTTTCTCTTTCTGTGCAAAATACCTACATAAAACAAAGAACAAAAGCAGGCTCCAAACTGCTTATGAAGCTCAAATACACAAAGTAAACAGCCTGAGTTTTCAAAATCTTAAATTTCTTCTCATTAGGTAATTCTAAGAATCATGAATACAGGAACGGTGCATTCGCAGTGAAAGTATCTGTAAATTCACTAATCTCAGCTTTATATGCATGTCTTTTACGGATTTTGGTGCTCTGAAGAGCAGCAGCACTGTTGTGCTTCCTTAACATTCAAAAATCTTATAATTTCAAGGATAATTGCATTTCTTACCAATTATACCTATCTGCTTTTAATTTTTCAAGTAATTTGTGTAAAAAAAAAAAAAAGAGAATTCTAACAAACACTTAGACCTAAAGGTAGCTCGGAAATTATTTGCACTCAGGGTTTTCAGTATCCAAGGCTCACAGTTAGTGCTCGAAATTTACAACTCTTACTAAAAAAAAAAATTTAAAATACCCCCCCCACCTTGCTTTACTGTTAACACTTCTTGAATTGCACAATCCAGATAACGCCAGATTAGACAGTCTCTGTAGTTCCTTCTTAATCATGCTGGAGAATGAAACAGGGAAATAGGTACTGCAAGAAGCTTTATTTTGTAAGGGAAACAAGGGCTTTTCAGAGCCACTACTCTCTGATTTATTTGTTAATTCAGCGCATGTGACAAGTCCAGTGAATGAACAATCACGGTACTGTCACACAGGAAAGCAGAAAGCAGTTTTCATGGCTGCAGAGAATAAGCTACAGATAACCAAAGGAAGATGGGCATACTGCCCACAGTAGTGCTCCAAAGGAAAACAACCAACTGCACGGGCTCAGAACCTGCTGGTGAAAGTATAATTTAAAGTTTCTGCAGGAAATAATAATAATAAAAAAACCCCAACCCAACAAACCAGAATCCAATACTCAAGTCTCATATAATCAGTCTCCATCAAAGCTCACAGGCCAGATGACTCATCAAACATTTTGGAACATGTAGCTGGAACTGCTCTTGTATGGATGCACTTAAAATTGCCTCTTCTTGCCCTGATACTCTCGGTGCAGGTATCGGTTATACTTACATTCTGCCTAGGGGCCTAAGCTCAGAACCTTCTCTAGACTGTTTCTGCGCACTGAAATGAGGAAGATGAGGCTGAGCATGATCAGGACAGTCCAGAAGCAGAACATTAGCATGCAAGCATATCCCAATTGCTGTCTCAGTTTGGTGAATTTTTGGTAAAAACAAAGCAAGTAGGAAGTCATGAGAGCCAGCTCTGAAGAATGCCAGTAACAATCACAATATGACTATATGGCTGTTCCATAACCTGAAGCATCCTCACGCAGGACAGCAATGCTCTAAGGAGAAGTTTAACAATAAAAGGATTTACCTTAAAATAACTGAAATCAAATATGATATCCCCATACTTCTGTTGATCAGCCTTGTCCTTTAGCCTGAAAACACCAGGGATAAATTCGGAAAGTCTCAGAAGTTCTGCAATGATGGCATTTCCACAGGAGACAATCCGAAGAATTGCCTGACCACAGAGATTGTTTTCAGCCAGAAAATCAACCATGGTGGGGCTGGACCTGACAGAGCAGCAGAAGTCCTGCAGTCAGATTCTGGTCGTTAGTCTTCAGGTTATTTGAAGAAGAAAGTCTGATGAGAAAACTAGCTGCTCCATTAATAGCCTGTAAAAACAAAACCACACACATTCAGTGGTTCATATTTTCGATCGTTTAATGTGTGTGGATTTTTAAGCGCACTCTCAAATCTTTCAGTTTATGAAACCTAAATTATCGACAGCTTTGCAAGATGAAAAAAATGTGCAGGATTAATCTTTGGCATATATGGCATGTTTGACTCAATGATCATAAATACTGAAGCAATTAGGACCACACAAGGAGATGGCAGCAAGGAAAGTAAAAACTTGTTACAAGATGTGTTTATAACAGTGACCTTGAAACTACAAGCAAACTGATTGTAATAGGAAACAAGGAAAACTTTTATAGCAAATGGAAACAAGACAGCTCCGTTCCTTTATTTATTGCTAAAGGGTTAGCTTGGGTGCTGTGGTTGCATTTCCTGGTCACAGTTTTATTTATTGACATGTTTCCTGCAGGATACAGAGTGCAGCACTGCTGAAAATAAGCTTTTCTGTTTAGAACCATTTATGCGAAGTTATGAGTTGACTTTTCACTTCCAAACCACTGAGATGAATTTAAGGTGACAGTGCCTCTTCGGCCCCAAAAAGGGGAACCTAGAGTCTGACCTTCCCGCGGGGCAGGGGGGCGTTATCCCCGCTGCGGGAAGCTCCCCCGTGGGACCTGGGGTGGACCCAGGCCCCACAGCAGCCGGACTGGGCTTTAAACCATAGAATAGAATCATAGAATCGCTTCAGTGGGAAAAGACCTTTAAGATCATCGAGTCCAACCGTTAACCTAACCCTGCCATCCCACCACTACACCATGTCCCGAAGCACCTCATCTGTCCTTCTTTTAAATACCTCCAGGGATGGGGACTCGACCACTTCCCTGGGCAGCCCATTCCAGAGCCTGACAACCCTTTCAGTGAAGAAGTTTTTCCTAATGTCTAGCGTAAACCTGCCCTGGCGCAGCTTCAAACCATTCCCCCTCGTCCTATCATCTGTTACCAGGGAGAAGAGGCCGACCCCCACCTCGCAGCAGCCTCCTGTCAGGCAGCTGCAGAGGGCGATCAGGTCTCCCCTCAGCCTCCTCTTCTCCAGACTAAACAACCCCAGCTCCCTCAGCCGCTCCTCATAAGACTTGT